TCCTTATTATTTGTAGTCATGTTACCCAAAATAAATCCTGTCTCCTTACTTCCTTAAGCTCTTATTTTCTTGTCCTCTACCCATTCTCAGCCACTCATTCCCCTAGTTACATTTGCAATTTTGTCATCACCAATAATTACAACATCTCCTTAATCTCATGCCTCCTTTTCTTTGACCAACACCTCCACTCTTCTACCTCCCTCCTTCTGGTAGTCCAACACCAACAACCTTTCTGTTCCATCAGAACTTCAATCCATTGGTCCTACCATGTGTTCCTTGCCCTTCATCCCTTCACTGTCTCGATTCCTTCTTCACCTATCTTAAATTCCATGTTCAATTATTATAACCCTTGTGTATGTCTTTCACCCGCTTTTCATTTTCTCACTTTATATATTCAGTTTGAAAAACTGCAAACTTGATTAAATCCAGCTTTTTGCTTGGTGGCTGTATCTGTGTTTGGTGAAATGAAGTTGGAGGAAAAGATATAATTACACTTGCTAGTCGTACTTTAAAATCATGATGACCTTGACTTTAAAATAAACTTTTTAATGCAGAGAAGCAATTTTACTCTTTGTCCCTGGTCAATGCACACTCTCATTGTTTTAGAATCGCTTCATGATTTGTCGCAGACAGTCTCATTCCACATACTCCCTCCTGTGCAACTGATTTTTGAATTGAATTTTATCTAAATAAAATAGGTACATAGTTTAACAAGTCAATAAATACCTAGAAATAGAAATTCCATTTGACCCAGCAATCTCATTACTGGGTATATATCCAAAGGATTACAAATCGTTCTAGTATAAGGACACATGCACACGAATGTTCATTGCAGCACTGTTTACAATAGCAAAGACCTGGAACCAACCCAAATGCCCATCGACGATAGACTGGATAGGGAAAATGTGGCACATTTACACCATGGAATATTATGCAGCCATCAAAAACAATGAGTTTGTGTCCTTTGTAGGGACATGGATGAACCTGGAAACCGTCATTCTCAGCAAACTGACAGAAGAGCAGAAGATCAAACACCGCATGTTCTCACTCATAGGCAGGTGTTGAACAATGAGAACACATGGACACAGGGAGGGGAGCACTACTCACTGGGGTCAGTTGGGGGGAAATAGAGGAGGGACGGTGGGGGGTGGGAAGCTGGGGAGAGATAGCAAGGGGAGAGATGCCAGATGTAGGTGATGGGGAGGAAGGCAGCAAATCACACTGCCACGTGTGTACCTATGCAACAATTTTGCATGTTCTTCACATGTACCCCCAAACCTAAAATGCAATAAAATAAATAAATGGGAAAGAATAATAATATTAGGTATGTAACTAATGACAGCAGTTTTTTGCCAAATTTTCTTTCATTCCAATTCCCATGGTAGTACTTTTAACTTCTGTTTCTTTTGTTCCCCCCCATAGATCATAATTATACTACCATTTCTTATTTTTTCAATAATATAGTGCCTTTACACACACACTCATCTTGTTCTTCTCCCTCTTCTCCCCTTCTTCCAGTATGTTTTTTTTTTTTTCAAAAATTTTTGTTAAGTCATTTCTCAATGTTTATATTATTACTTTGTAATTAATATTCACATTTGAACTTACAAAGTACGTTAGGACAACATTTTTTCTTTTTGAAAAACAGAAAAAATTTTGGTTTTTTCTTGGAATTAATTATTGTCGCTTCTTTATTTGCAAAGTTTTCTTTGCATCAATTGTGAAATCTCTCAAACTTTCCTTTGGAATAGACCAGAAAATCTTGTCTGAGTGTGTTTACAACATGTCAGCTATTATATTACTTTTATTTTCTTCATGATTATTCATTCTAGAACCCTTCTGAATCTGTTCTAGTCAAGCCGATTTCTCTCTAGAAAGAAATCTAGGGAGATTTCTAGATTTTTCTAACTAGAGCTGCTATCCTGGTACTTCTCTTCACTTTCATCCTGTGAATGCCTTTACCTTTCCTGTGTGAGAGTCTTGTTACTTTGTTCCTCTGTCTTTCTCCTTCCTTTTTAACTTTTCACTGAGGAATGGATCATCCAATAGCTTCCTGGGAAAGATAGCTAGAAGGACAATTTTGGGGGCATATTAAAACTCTAAAATATCCTTATTTCACTCATGTCCTTAACTGATAGTTTGGCTGGGTACAGAATTCTAGATTGGCATCAATTTCCTCTCACATTTTGATGATATTGCTACATTGTTTTCTACGAGTGTGGCTAATAGGAGTTTTAATGACACTGATACATCTTTTGTAAATAAACACTTTTTTTCCCCACTGTTCACATAATTTTAGGCTCTTATTTTTGTTCCTGGAATTTACAAATGCCATGTAATGGACCATTGTACAGAATATTTTTTCATCAGTTGCACTGTTTTTTCAGTGAGCCCTTCCAATGTGGGAAGTCATACTTTTCAGTTCTTGAAGGTAGTACTGAAATTATTATTATAATATAATTATTACTCTTTATTTTTCATATTTTTCTTTTCTAGAACTCCTGTTTGTTGGCTGCTGTATATCCTGGATTGATCCTCTGCTTTCCTTACTTACCTCACAAACTCTTTTTCTCTGTTTTTTCTACTTCCTGGGATATTTCCTCAACATTATTTTCAAACACTTTTGTCGGATTTAAATTTTTGCTGTTGTATTTTTAATTTTCAGAAACTTTTTTTGGTAACAAAATGCCTTTCATTGTTTATTTTTTAAATTGACAAAAGTCATATGTATTTATTGTGTACAACCTGTTTTAAAATACATAAACATTGTGGAATGGCTACATCAAGGTAACATATGACTTGCTTCATATATACATACTCTTTGGTGAGAATGCTTGAAATCTATTCTCTTAGCAATTTTACAAGAATACCATACACTGTTATCAACTATAGTCATCATTTTGTATCAATAACTCTTTCTGACATTCTGAATCTTCTCCTTTTTACTGTATCATGTTCTTTTTCATGGAATTCTTTCATTTCTTAATTTTTGGAGCATATCAGACATAAAATATTGCTATTAGTCCTGGCATGGCATGCAAACAAACAAAAAATAAATTTGTTGGCCTGACATGGTGGCTCATGCCTGTAATCCCAGCACTGGAGGCCGAGGTGGGTGGATCACCTGAGGTCAGGAGTTTGCGACCAGCCTGGCCAACACGGTGAAACCCTGTCTCTACTAAAAATATAAAAATTAGCCAGGCGTGGTGCTGCATGCCTGTAGTCTCAGCTACTTGGGAGGCTGAGGCAGGATAATGGATTGAACCTGGCGGGCAGAGGTTGCAGTGAGCCGAGATTGCACCACTGCACTCCAGCGTGGGCAACAGAGCATGACTGTCTCAAAATAAAAAATAAATAAAAAATTAAAAAAATAAATAATAAATAAAAATAAAATAAAATAAAATAAATTTGTTAAAGAGCACATGCATACCTCTGTCCCTTGAGAGTTGGTGCTCAGTGCTGGGCGTGAGATGTAATTTAAACATTAGTTCTTGTAACTAACTTCAGGGAAATATTTATTCACCACTCTTGCCTTATGTCTTGTCTCAAAACTGAAGAGAATTGTTTTTACATGCTGAGGTGGTTTGTGGGTGGTATCATTAAGGACATGAGAGGATACTGGTTAGATGACTGGTGAGGATGTGAGAGGTGGCAGCGCTTATGTAAATGTAAATGTAAAACATTTTAAACTAATTTGTCACATCATTTTCTCAGATAGCATGAAAGCAATAGATGCTTTCATAATGAAGTATAATTTTCCAGTAGTACCCTGGTATCCATTTCTTGTTTCTCTTCAGGTTTTAATTGTGGTTTCAGAGTTATTCATGGATTAATAATATTTGCTACAGTTGCTTATAACAGCTGAAGAACATTTTGCAATTTTAAACAAAAATACTCTTAGGTTTGTATATGTGTGGATGCAGATGTAACATTGTGAAATGTGATACTAATTCTTCACTGGTAAGTAGATGGACATTGAATTGGGATAAATTTATTTTTATAAAGTACATAGTAAGATATAGTTAAGTAAAAAAATTAAATAAAATTCAGCTTTACTTAAATAATTTCGATTTAAGCGTTGATATTTTAAATTACTTTTTTGTCTTTTAATTTTAATAGATTATTTTCCATCCTTTGAAAAAATACCTTTTTGAAACATATTATAAAAATATTTTTTGAAATTTACTATTTGTTGAAAATATAGTAAAATTTTGTAAACTCTGATACAAATATATTGTATTTTAAAATCTTATTAGTATTAATAGAATATGAAACATGAAAATCTCGATGATAACAGTGATTTTGCTGAAATGAAGGCAAGGAAAATAAAGCTTGTGGAATAAATAAGTAGTAATTAGGAACCATGTTTGCCTTTATTACTATCTATACACTGCTACTGGCCCAACAACAGAACATTAGACAAGGACAATAATAATTATATTTAGTCACTGTTGATGAATATATATATTTATTTTGCCTAAAAATTGACATTTATTCAAAGAAAAAAAAAAACAAGATGTCCATCTCTTGGCTCCCTTCCCTCCCCTCTCCTGCTGCTCCTCAACTCCGCCAGTTGAACCCTCACTGGGGCTAGGTAGCAGGACAGCCCCTCAGATGAGGTCAGCAACATGAAGGGGCATCTCCTCAGTGGAGGTGTTGTAGAAAGCCTCGATGTCTTGAAGAGTCTTCTTGTCTTCTTCTGCCACCCTGTTAATAGATGAAAGGTCTGGGTGTTAAGTGTGTTCATTGTTTCTGGGGGTCATGGTTTCAAAGCTTTTAAGCCTTGCCAACTGACAGAGCAAGAAAAGAGCACCCTTATGGCCAAACTGTTTACCTCAACCGATTCTGTGGATATAGTTTTTTCTTATTGGTGGAAAGGTCATAGTTAATGACTAAAGAAACCTGCTGCACACCAATGCCTCAGGCCTATGTCAAGAAAGACAACTCTTCAGCATGTACATGAGAGGACAATCTATCCCTAAGGGAACAGACTTAGGTGTCCATGTAGGCAGCCAAGGAAGACAGAAAATAAGCATCCCGTGTTCCTCAGGCATGCTAGATTCTGTTCCAAGTTACTACTTTCCTGAGAGAGGCACTGGATGTTTCCTTGAAGAGGGAATCCCCTTGGATTGTTGATATTTTTTGACTTTCAGTCATTTAAAACCCAGCTTTACACACACTTTTCAATTTTGTTGTTGTGAGGGAATATTCATCAAGGTTCTATTTGTTTGCTTAATCTAACTTTTCGATATTTAAACATATGGTACTTGGGCCTTGATGTATACTCCTTTCCTAGGCAACTTATAGTGCTAACTATTCTCTTAGATCTAAGCCCAGAATTGAAGCCTACTGAGATTACCTGAGCCCTTCATTGTGTTCATGTCTTCCTTCCCCTGTCACTCACTCCTCCTCTAAACTGCAATAGCAAAGCAAAGATCATGGAGGAGTAATGTATGATTTATGTTCTAGCAATCTATGGTTGAGATAGAAAATAGCAAGATGTTCTTTACATAATCAAGTGCTTGTGGTGAGATGAAATGTCCTAGTATCTTTGAGAAGGAACCAATGAGCATTACCAGCTCCTTGAGGATAGGGGCTATGTAGAATTAATCTTTTTCTTTGTGCCTAGCAGAGTATCTTGCAAATTAGGGGAAGTTTTTGGAGAAGGGGTAACTTTGCAAGGTCTGAAAGATGAGTAGAGTTTGCATAGACAGAGGGTTGAAAGCATCTGGGCTGGGAATGCAACTGTCAGCAAGGTATAAAGGTACATATATGTACCTGTGTATTTGTGCATGTGTGTGCATGTTTGTACAAAGGTGCATAGATGTGTCTGTGTGTGTGTGTATGACAGAGAGAGATGGGACTGAGGGTGGGAGAGGGGTGAGGGTGGAAAGGAAGAAATTTTAGCTTGGGTGAACTGGAAGGTATGCTGGAGGAAAGTAAGAAATTAGATGGGATAAAATAGGGCCCCAACTGATGTAAGAGCTTGGAAAGAAACCATTATTCTCAGGTTACATTAGAAACATATGGAACAGAGAGGACAGTGCTGCTACTGGAAAAAAGATGATTTAATGGCTAATTGTGAATTACTGTAATTAATTCCAATCAAGCAAAACAAAGGGGGAATAATTAAGACAGTGCCCACTTGTAAGAGATTTGAGTTTTAATGTCTGTAAAGCTCCAGAGTAAGCAGGAAGGAAAGCACATTACCTACCTTACAACTGGGTGCTTTTTCTAAAGATATTTTTAAG